GGGGTGATGGGGGCGCAAGGGGGAGGGGCAAGGCTCTCCCCTGGATTCAGGGGGGTCCTGCCCACCCCCCCATTTACCTCCTTCTCCCCACAGATGTGGCTGACGGTGGCGGCCGAGGCTGGACTCGATGCAGGACCCAGAACCGACACCACCCCTTTGGGCAGGATCTGGCACACTGTGGGGAGAGAGCGTGTGTGGGGCATGCCGGCCAGCCAGGCCCTCGCACGCCCACCCTCGCACGCGCACCCACACACGGGCACCTCCCCCACAATCATACCCTTGCACACTCACACGCCAACCCCCACACGTGCATGCTCACCATTGCACACCTACCCTCGCACACGTGTGATCCTCCCTCCACAAACACACACCCTACGTACGCTTGCTTGCACACACACACTTACACACAACCCTTGCAAACTCCCCATTGCATGCCCACCCTCACACATGTGCACTCCTCCCTCCACAAGCATACATGTCCTGCACAATTACATTTGCACACCCACCCTCACACACACCCTGACACACTTATGCTTTCACACACATCCTCCTCTTGCCACAAGCATGCATGCCCTGTCCATTCACACTCACATGCTTGTCTGTCCATGAATGCACACTCATCCTTCCACACAGTCCCATCCTTGCACACCCACCTTGCACACTTTTCCTTCCACAAACACACACCCTCATCTTTGCACATACCCACTCACCCTCACTCTCCTTCTGTGATGCAGTGGGAATGTTCATAATGTTTCTCTGAATACTGTGTGTGCCTCAGTTTCCCCTGTGTGTCAGGTACTAGGTGGGGGGCTCAGGGGGTGTGATTGGTGCAGCGACCCGCCCGGCCACGCTCAGAACCTGTTCACCGATGGCTGGAACTTGGCCCTGCAGAGCCAGCCGGGGTCCTGGTGCCACCCAGGGGACCTGCTATCCCGGGCAAGGGGCAAAGCCTGGAGAGGGGCAGTGGGTTGTGGTTGAGGTTGGGCTGTGGGACGAGACTCAGTCTCCTGGTCTGGGGGGCACCCAGGGCTCTGGGTCCCCCCCAACAGACTTTGCTGCAGGTCCCTGGTCTCACAAGCTCTGTTCTACTCTGGGTCCCCACGTCGGGGTCACTCGCTGCCTGGGAGTCGCTGCGGGAGGGCAGGGCCCTTTGGGGGCACATGAGGCTCCCCAGGGGCCCCGTCCAGGGGGACTCGCTGTGGGGGGGCCCGGTGCACCCAGAGGGCTGAACGCTCCGAGGTCGGACCCAGGAGCCCCCGAAGCCAAGCAGGTGCCCGGCCCTGGTGACAGGTGCCCTGTGGGGAGACGCTGCCCCAGAGCCCTGCCTGGCTTCACCCGGAGCCGTGCCAGAGCCCCCAGCCTGGGACCCCGGGACCCTTCCACACACACCCTTTGGACACGCCCCCTACGCACACAAACGTTCACACTCCCCATCACCTCAGTGTCCTGCACACTCCCAGCACACGCTCACATCCGTTCTCCTCCTTGCACACTTGTGCCCAGCACACGCCCATGTCCCTGATTACACACAGATCATCCCCAGCCAGTGAGGGCTGGGCCCACGTGTGCACACGCATCTTGCACACCCAGCCGTGACTGGCCTGGGGGAATCTCATGCTCCGAGCCCCGTTGGGTCACGGACTCACCCTCATCTACTCACACTCCCCATACCACGATGGCCTTGCAGAGGTGCTTTTGGACTAACCACCCTTGTGCACACTCCCCCTTGCACACTTCCCTCATGTGTTTACACACTCAGTTACATGGGGTCACCCCCTCACACACTAGTCCTGGTTACCCTTTGCACACTGACACCTTGCACAGGTGCTGGTGTCAGTAGTCGCACACACATGCTCCCTTTGCACGCTCAACTCCTCGTACTTGTCTCTTGCACACACTCCCCTTGCACATGTACTGGTGCCAGGGGTCTCGCAGGCCCTCTTGCACACATGTCCCCTTGCACACATACTGGTGCCAGGGGTCTCACAGGCCCCCTTGCACACTACTCCCCATGCATCTCTCCTTGCACACGTATGCCCCCTGCACATGTCCTGGTGTCAGTGGTCTCATGCACGCCCCCTTGCACATGTACTGGTGTCGGGTCTCACAGTCCCCCTTGCACACGACTCCCCATGCATCTCACCTTGCACACGCACACCCCTTGCACACGTCCTGGTGTCAGTGGTCTCATGCACACCCCCTCACACACGTACTGGTGTCAGGGGTCTCACAGGCCCCCTTGCACACTACTCCCCATGCATCTCACCTCGCACACGCATGCCCCCTCGCACACGTACTGGTGTCAGTGGTCTCGTACTGGCTGTCGCGCTGCAGTTCGAAGATCTCGACCTCCACGCGGGCCTTCGCTGGCACCTCGATGATGCCGTTGATGTGCTCCCGGGCCAGGGCCAGAGCCAGCCGCTCCCCGCGCCCACACACCGTCTGATCGTCCAGGATCGCAGCTGGGGGGCACACAGCCGGGGGGGCACGTGGGTCCAGAGACACCACAGACACCCCTCCCCCACCACTGAGCTCGCCCCATCATCAGCCACCTCCCATGGCCTCCTCCCATCCACAGCCCCTCACTTCTGACCCACAGTCCTGGGCTCCCCCCCCCATCTCTGCCGGTGCCCCTCACTCCCGACCCGCAGCCCCTGCCCCCCAGCCCCGGGCTACC